GAATTGCATTGGGAAAGTCTGCTGTCAGAGACCTCTCCAAAGTACTGAAGAGCAACAATGTCAGCTGGCAACTAAGGTGTGCCTGATACAGGCCATGGCCTTTGCAATTTCTTGCTATGCATCAGAAAGTTGGACAATTATGAGGGATGATAGGAGAATTGCTGCCTTTGGTATGTAGTTCTGGAAAAGATCATTGAATATACCATAGACTGCTAGAACAACAAACAAGTTTGTCTTAGAGAGGGTGAGAACAGGCTGCTCTTTGGAGGCAAAGATTCTGAAGCTTTGTCTGACCTACTTTGGACATGTTGCAAGGCGGGACCAGTCCTTAAAGAGGGACGTCATGCTTGGGAGGATGGAGGGACAGTGCAAGAGAGGTAGATCCTCGTTGAGATGGACCGATTCAGTGACTAGGGTGATGGCGGTAGGTGTGTCAGAGATAATAAGAACAGCACAGGATAGAGCAGAGTTTAGGGCTTTTGTACTTATGGTCGCTATGATGGCTTGATGGCACATAACAACAACAAGAACACATGGATATATATATATACACACACACATACATATATGGAGATATATATACATATATACACACACCACACACATACATATATGGAGACTTAAATATATTCATACATATATAGAGATTTAGACACATATGTGGAAATTTATACAAATATATGGAGATTTTTATATATGTTTATAAGTATATGGAGATTTATATATTTATATGGAGATTTATACACACATACATATATAGAGAGATATTTATCCATATATATGGAGATTTATACATATATACAGAGAGTTATACATATATATGAAGTGGCATCCACTTCCATAAATAGCTTACCTCTGGAAACCCTATGAATCTGGAGAAAGGATGAAAGTCACACAAGTGTTGAGGACCTTCATTCATAGGGTCGCTATGAGTCGCCTATGACTCGACGGCACTTCACAACAACAACAACAACATATATGAATACATACTTTGGACATGTTGCAAGGAGGGACAAGTCCTTGGAGAAGGACGTTATGCTTGCGAGGGTGGAGGGACAGCGCAGGAGGGGAAGACCCTCCATGAGTTGGATTGATTCAGTAACTGGGGTAATCGGGATGGGTGTGTTTGAAACAGTGACATTGGCACAGGGTAGAGCAGGGTTTAGGGCTGTTTACACAGGATCCCTATGAGTTGCAGGTGACTTGACGGCACATAACAACACCAACATATATAGATATAGATTAGATATAGAGATATATATGGAGCTCGGAAGGAGGAGTGGCATCCACTTCCATAATAGCTTGCCTCTGGAAACCCTATGAACCTGGAGAGAGGATGAAAGGCACCCAAGCATCGAGGACTCTCCTTCATAGGGTCGCTATGAGTCGCCTGCGACTCGACGGCACTTAACAACAACAACAGCATATGGAGCTCTGGTGGCCTAGTGGCAAGAAACTGTGCTGTAATTCCGAAGGCACGCAGTTCCAGGCCACCAACTGCTCTGTGGGAGAATGATGGGTAATCTCCTCCCGTGTGACTAACTGCCTCTGAAAACCCTTTGGAAGGTCAGCAAAGCCTGCCCTATCCTGAGCTAATCTCTCTGTTTCTGACACACCTATCCCTATTACTTCAGTTACTGTGTCAATCCATTTCATCCAGGGTCTTCCTCTCTTGCGCTGTCTCTCTATCTAAGTATGATGTCCTTCTTCAAGAACTGGTCCCTGCTGGCCACATGATCAAAGTATGTCAGACAGAGCTTCAGAATCACTCCTGTCAAGAAGCAACTTGGTTTCATCCCCTCCAGGACAGACCTGTTTGATCTCTTGGCAGTTCGTGGTATGTTCAATACACTTCTCCAGCACCACAATGTAAAGGCATTGATTCTTCTTTTTTCTCATCCTTAGTCATTGACCAGCTCTCTGATGTGTAGCAATTAATTGCAAAGACTATGGCCTGGATCAGGCACATCTTAGCCTCTAGACTGACAACTTTGTTCTTCAGCACTATGGAGAGGTCTCTCATAGCCGACTTCCCCACGGCAATTTGTCTTTTGATTTTCTGACTCTTAAGCAGCTCTGGTGGCCTAGTGGCAAGAAGCTGCGCTGCAATCCTGAAGGCATGTGGTTTGAGGCCACCAGCTGCTCCACAGGAGAAGGATGGGTGATCTCTCAGGTGATTAACTGCCTCTGGAAACAAACTGGTGGGTAGTGGGATAACTGAGTCACACCTTAGGTTAAGAAGCCCTGGTGGTACGGTAGGTTAAACATTTAATAGTTAACTGAGAATCCAACCATTTTAACCCACCAATCATTCCAAGGGAGCAAAAAGGGGCAATTTGCTACTATAAAGATTATAGCTGTAGAAATACCACTCTAACCTACAACCAGGAGAAGATAAAATAGATGAATGGGATCTTCTAAGAATTAAATCCGTATGCACATCCAAAACCTTCTCCACCAGGGTAAAAAGGGAAGCCACAGACTGGGAAAAAGTATTTGGTAATGACATATCAGATAAGGGACTTATATCCAGAATTTATAAAATACTTGAGCACCACAATAAATAAAGGTAAATAATCCAATAGAAAAATGGGCACAGGATATAAACAGACACTTCACCGAAGAATACATTCAGATGGCTAACAAACACATGAAGAAATGTTCAAAATCCCTAGCTCTAAGAGAGATGCAAATCAAAACAACTATGAGATATCATCTCACCCCAGTCAGAATAGCAAAATTTAACAGAACAGCAAGAAACAAATGCTGGCAAAGTTGTGGAGAAACTGGAACCTTTATTCACTGTTGGTGGGAGTGTAAAATGGTACAACCACTGTGGAAGGTGGTATCGCGCTTTCTCAATAAGTTGGAAATAGAAATACCATTCGACCCAGCAATTCCACTACTGGGAATATATCCCAAAGAGACCATAACTGACACCCAAGCAGATATATGCACACCCATGTTTATTGCAGCTTTGTTCACAATAGTAAGGAGTTGGAAACAACCTAAGTGCCCATCAACAAACAAATGAATAGAGAAGCTGTGGTATATTCACACAATGGAATACTACGCTGCATTGAGAAATAAGGAACTCATGAAATATTATTCAAAATGGGTGACCCTGGAGGACATTATGCTGAGTGAAGTAGATCAGTCACAAAAAGACAAATACTGTTTTAAATTACTTTGTAAAACAAGACTGACCTCAGGGTTGGGGGGAGACTGAGAAGATGGGTTCAATAATGTATACTGCATTGAAACAGATGAGGGAAAAAACTCTTTAAGAGGGAAAATTATTGAGTATTTTTGTCATGACATGAGTCCAGAGTGAAGGCTGTATAGTGGAGTGGACCTGGGGGAAGCGATTGTAAAACAATGAAAGAATTTTTCTTTTACTTTTCCAAGAGGGTAGTGTACTAGGGGAGAGAGATGGGAGGGGAGAAAAAGTGTAACAATGAATGAATGAAAATAGAAAAACACAAAAAGAACAAAAGCTAAATTGACAATAATTTTCAAACTTCAGAATCCTGTTTTTAACAAATGTTTGCAAAGGAAAAAAGTTATATTCTTAGCACCATAGTATATACCACAACATGTTCACTTTTTAAATTTTATTTTGTTCTCTAATAAATATTGATAATGCAAATATAATTGCTTTAACAACAACAAAAACAATAACAAAGAAATACCACTCTATCCTAAAGGTTACTACAAGGTTGAAGAGACTTGAAGGGGAAAATGCAAACATGGCCACCAAGAAATTCTTAGAAGAATGTTCACTCACAGTAACTTTATTCATACTTTTCCCAAATGGAAAGAATCCAAATGTTCATCAACAGGAGGGAAATAAGTTTTGGATACAATATGGATATGGTAGAATTTTATTCAGCAATAGATACAAACAAATTATCAATACATTCATAAAGTGGATGGAGTAAGAAATACTTTGAGCCAAAGAAGGCAAACATCAAGAATATAGTATGTATAACTCCATGTATATGAACTCTAGGAATTGGTAAAATTAATCCACTGTAAGAGAAATGAGAACATCAACTGCTTCTGAGTTGAGGTCTTGAGGACTCCTGAAAAAAAAAGAATTAGGGGGAATTCAGGGGTGATGAAAATGTTTCACGCCTTCAGTTGATTGATATAGTGGACAATTTCATATATATATATATATATACACAAAACAAGAGCATTTCAAAATCTGGGGTGTTCCGTGTGATTAAAGCTGCTTATACAAGGTTTGCCTCCATCTCCATCTGCCCTAGTTTCTGCCTGTGTTTCAGAGCAGGTGACTCATGACTATAGATGAGTAAACAAGGGTAGAACAGTTTTCCCTTTGGGAGAATGACATTAAAAATAGATTAACTAGTATATGGAAAAGTGTTTTCACAAAGAACTCTTCCAGACATTCTCCCAGGAAAAAATTACAATTCTCCAGTGTTGAAGAAAAGAAAACAAACAAAAACAAGGGAATCAGATGAACACATATCCAGGACTTGTATGTATTCATCTGAAAGGTATTAGAAAACTCAGGGTACATATGATTATAATTTAGTAAAAGATTCACCTTCCCATAGATTTACTAGAATACTGACCCAACTTGATTCTTTTCCAGATAATGATACATTTAAGTTTGCAATAAGGATAGTTAAAACAGCTGACCATTCTTGTTTACTCTGATGTAAAGTGGTCTAGGATGAGTATACCTTCATTCTCTCCACCTCCCAGTTTCTTCTCTTTCTACTCACTGCAGAACAAGTTCACGTGGAGCCTTTTGACCCATTGCTGTGTTAAGTGCCATGGACTCGGCTCTGACTCACAATGTGAGGGATCTTGTGGGCACTAGAAACCTTGCCTGGAGTTCTTAGATATGAAAGGAATATTTTTTCACTTGCTGAGTGATGTCTCACCATCAAAGATGGAAAAGAGGACAATTCAAAGACGCTGTTGAGTGACACTTCCTTCAGGAGTCACCCAGGTGTGAGCCTACCTTAGAGTTGTTTCTGGGTGTGGGTGGTAGACGTGGCCATTGTGTAGCTCTCAGACGTACCCGTTTTACTCATCCTTGTAAACCACATATTATACTCCCCTCGAACCTAGAAAAAAGTAAATACAGATACTTGTTTAGTGAAAACACTTAAATAGAAACCAAGATATGACGTTGAAATCACTCTCTTCTGAACCATATTTGACGTTGTAGGTGTCATTATCTCATACCACAACTCTTGCCTCTGACTGATGGTGACCCCACGTACAACTAACTAGAAGAAATATTAACCATTCTTGCACCCATTCCTTCCATCACTTATGGATTAGACTGTAGTGTAGAAGTGGATTGCCAGGCCTATCTTCCCATTTGTTTCCAGTTGGGAAGCTCTGGTGCACCCTGTTCTGAATCATTGGAACACACTAGCCTCCACTAACACCTGACTGATAGCTACTTATTGTTAAGTCTGGACAAAGTGGGCCAAAGAGAAGAATTCAGAATTCAAATGCTAATGGACTTTTCTGCTGCTGATAAGAACAGCAAACAGCCTTGCCTGCCTGGCTGAGCTAGCAGGTGGATGGTAAATCAGAGCGGAATGTCCTTCCCTAAAGTATCTGTTAGAAAACCCCTCCCTAAAAAGTTCCCAGTGTGACTTCCCCATTCTGCATCCCCAGATTGGGGAACTTCAGGGAGCTCCTCTATTATCTATTCCCCCCCTAATCAAGCTGTGCTAAGCTTTCTCTAGTTCTGATTTCTTCCTTAAGTATGCTAACATAACACTTATGTGGTGTAGTAGCTGGGAATTAGACATGGGTCTCTTGGATGTATGGTTAGGATTCTACCACTGAACCATTACTGTCCCTGAATCCCATTTACCAAACCAAACAAGCTGTTATGGGATCAGTTCCGACCTCATGTGTACCAGAGTTCTAGGAGGTTTTCAGTGGCTGTTTTTCAGTTTAGCTTCACAAGCCTCTCTTCAAAACTGCCTCTGGGTGGACTCAAACATCTAATCTATTGTTTAGAAGTTGATTATGCCTCCCATGGACTTCTTGAATTCCTGTTTATTTTGGCCAAATTTACAGTCATTAATATTGAATAAGGAGTCCATGTGGGGTAGTGTGTTGTGGTCTACTGAAAGTTTGGCGTTTCGAATTCATCAGATGCTCCAAAAGACATAGATGAGGCAGTCTCATTTTGCTAAGACTTACAAACTTGCATAACTCAGGGAGGCTCACCATGAGTCAGAAATGACTTAATGGGCAGTGGTTTGGTTAGTATGATTGACCAGCACTTGTCATATACAGGGGTTTGTGTGTTGCTGTAATGCTGAAAGCTATGGCACTGGCATTTCAAATATCAACATTGTATCTGTAAGGGATATAATGTCTGGCAAAGTAGAGGTTGAGTTAAAAAGAAATGGAATTACATAGAGGCTGTAATAATGGGCTCAAACACAGCAGCAATTGTGAGGATGGTGGAAGACCAAGTTGTGGTTTGCTTTGTTGTACATAATGTTGCTATGAGTTGATGTCAACTGGACAGCACCTAACAAAAGCAACATTACTGAACCATACTTGCTCTTCTGCAATATATCAGCCCCTTAACTCTTCAGAGGATTTCTAGAAAGGATTTCTAGGTGCAAAGCTTGGTACCTGGCAAATACCATCAACAGTTTAGCTGAATACATGTATGAGCCTGCACATGCGGTTGCTGTGTGATTTGAGTATTTCTTTCTGAGTGTGTGAGTGTGTTCTTTTATTCAAGGTGGATACATGGATGTCTTAAGCTTTGGATTCATTGATGATGATGTGCAGGTTGTAGGACCAGGTAATGCATTGTTCTGCTGTACAGAAAATGGCCAAGAACTGGAGGTGACTTAGTGGCAACTAACAACAACAACAACATGTATTAGGTTCTGTGAAGATACAGAATTGAACACGATAGAACCATAGCCTAGTCTAGGGACCGAGGATTATAATCCTGGGGAAATCAAGGTCAATTGACACAATGTAGTCTCTACATAGACAATATTCCATATTCTACTTTGGTGAGTATTAACTGGGGGATTAAACAGCTGGGAGTAGCCGTCTAAAATACTACTCTTAGACTCTCTCATTCAAAGAAGTGAAGATTGAAGGCAAAAAAAGTTACAATGAACCATTTTTATCCAAAGGAATAATGAACCATGTGACCCTCAACCTGTAAGACACTCAGGAAAGAAAAACTAGATGCTGCTCAGGTCGCATGCCAACAGAATTGAAAGAGATCACAGTAGGAGGTATTAGATAGAGTGAGGTAGAAACATGGTACAAAACCTAAACTCATAGTCTACTCAACTGACAGAGACTGGTGGGACCTTTGAGATTATGGCCCTTACTACCTCTTCAAGCTTGAAACCAAATTCACTTCCATGGCTCAACACTTCTGTTGTTGTTAGGGTGCCATTAAGTCAGCTCTTGTTCATAGACAAGTCATCTTGTCTATAAAATGTGTACAACAGAATGCAACATTGCCCAGTCCTGACCCACTTTTATAATTGCCTCTGAGACCTTGTTGAAGCTACTTGAAGAATATTACTGCAACATACTAAAGACAGAGAGCCGGTTAAAATACAAAGAGTTTCTAGAAATCAAGAAAAGGAAAAAGAACAAAGGACAGGGCTTGTGGGTCCTTCCTGTGCTCTCTCTCTTTTGCTGGGCTCTGTGACCATGCCAACATGGGCAAGTGTAGAGGCCTTTGTACCCCCAGGAAGCTGTGCATCCACTGGTGCGACCAGTAGTGGCGTGATTAACAGTACAAAAAAGCCCATTTGGGTACAGCTCTGAATTCCAACCCCTTTGGAGATGCTCCTCATGCAAAGGGAATTGTTTTGGAAAAAGCTGTTGAAGCCAAGCAGTCAAATTCTGCCATTAGAAAGTGTGGCAGAGTCCAGCTCACGAAGAATGGCAAGAAAATCACAGCCTCTGTGCCCAGTGATGGCTGCTTGAATTTTACTGAGGAAAACAATGAAGTTCTTGTTGCTGGATGTGGTCATGAAAGTCATTCTGTTGGTGACATTCTTGGAGTCTTCTTTAAGGTTGTCAAAGTGGCCAGTGTATCTCTTCTGGCCTTACACAAAGGCAAGACAGAATGGTCAAGATCTTAAATTTTGATGAAAATGTTACAGTAATAAATTTCCACCCGCCAGAAAACAAACAAACAACAACAAACAAAACAATGAAAGACCAAAGGACAATAGAAAAATAGAGGAAAACCAACAATAATCAGTTCATAGGAAGATAGTTACAAGTGATCTCTAAATATGGGAAAAGATAATTACTTTCATTTCCCCATAAGATTAATACAAAATAAAATACACAAATAAACCAGATATTACCTATGGTATGGGGTGAGGATGGCACAGGATAGGATAGGATAGGATAGGGTTTAGATCTGTTGTTCATAGGGTTGCTTTGAGTTGTATTTGACTCAACAGGACCTAACAAAAACACCACCATGCTATTGTTAGCTGCTGTCAATGCAATGCTGACTCATGATGACCAGGTATACAATAAGATGTTTGCACTCCATGAGACTTTGGATAACAGCAGAAGTTAATGATCAGAGCTCCAGTACTTGTCTGTCTTTGTCTAGAAAATACCTTGAAACCTATTTAGCATCACAGCATCAATCAAGCCTCCAGTGTGGCAGATGGGTGATGGCTGTACGTAAGGCACACTTGTCAAGAATTAAACCGGAGTCTGCTACATGGAAGGTGAGACTTCTACCACTGCGCCACCACTGCGTCTCATGAGGAGAGGATTAGTCTGCATAAGTGATGAGGGTGGACAATACTTATGAGAGCTGGAAAGTGGATACAAGACATATGTTACCTGATGGTTGAGTAGACAGTGGACAATGTAGATGTAGACTCCCTGCAGGACATTTGTGATGGTAAAGGTATAGGCGATGATCGATCGGAAGGGTTCTTTTATTGACTGGACAAGAAAGAAGCCTAGACACCAGGAACAGCCCAAGAGGAAGAGTTGAGCCATCGCTTTAAATGTCAGCATCCTGAAAAAACACAACATGAAGAGTTACCGACGTCAAGACCTGCTTCCCTGAGTAATCTTTTCTTTCTTGCAGGATTCCTTTGCCCTTCCTATACAGTTATTGGCAAAGTTTTCTCAAGCCAGGATACACTTGGGGAAATCATGTTTTTGAATATTTTGATGGGTTCTAAAGGCTAGTCTTTTGACTAGTATTTGGGCACTTAACCATGGCATCTGCAAGGATTTTTTTTGTAAAGGACTATGTGGTAAGTATTTTTGGCTTCGTACTGTACAGTCTTTATTATAACAAAGGGTTCTGCTGTTTTACACAAAACCAACCACAGATAATAGAGAAATAAATGAATATATTGATGTCATAAGGAGCTGAGCGGTTCGAACCCACCAGAACCTTTATGAAAGAAAGACGGGCAGTCTCCTCCCTTGCGATTTTACTGCCTCTAAAAACTATGAGTATGATCAATTATGATTAGGCTCCAACTCCAATGGTAACATGGGGTCGCTGTGAGTGACGGCACCTAACAGCTGTGCTTTGCTTGGTGCAGAGTCATAGTGAGACCTTGGCTAGAAGGCACCAAGTGGCTTCTCTGAACTTGTTAGCCTATTTGTAAAATGGAGCTGGTCGTCCTGAGCTAATGAGCAGTGAAAGCAGCAGCTCAGGCAGGAGGGAGTTAAGAAGCCAGGCTGGCAATCCAGGAGCATGGCAGAGGCCAGGCCAGCGAGGAGGCTGAGGCAGAGAGGCCTGAGGGGAAGGCCTGGACCAGGGCAAGCCGCTGGGGGTGGAGAACAAGGAAGGTTGGTGGGGCTTGTGTGAGGAGAGCTGTGTGTTTAGAAGTTACTTTCTGCCCATCAAGAAACGAACGGATAGAGAAGCTCTGGTATAGTCACACAATGGAAGGCTATGCTGCATTGAAAAACAAGGAACTCATGCAACATTATTCAAAATGGGTGACCTTGGAGGACATTATGCTGAATGAAATATCTCAGTCACAAAAGGACAGGTGCTGCATGGTGCCACTATTGTAGAACAGAACTGACATCAGGGTTGGGGTGAGACTGAGAAAAGTTGGATAAATGATGTATACTGCATTGAAACAGAGTGGAAGGAGGCGTGGCATCCACTTCCATAATAGCTTGCCTCTGGAAATCCTATGAACCTGGAGAGAGGATGAAAGACACCCAAGTGTCGAGGACTCTCCTTCATAGGGTCGCTATGAGTCGCCTGCGACTCGACGGCACTTAACAACAACAACAACATCATCAAATTGGAACCAACCCATAGCTGACCCTCTGGCAAAGTTTCAGAGGTAGTTAATCCCATGAATGGAGATTGCCCATCTTTCTGTCACAGAGAAGCTGGTGAATTCAAACCATGTGCCTTTGAGACTATAGCACAGCCTCGCAAAAAATAAGGCCCCCAGAATAGATGGTATACCAATTGACATACTTCAGCTAACATGCTGCCCTGGATGTGCTCACCAAGTTGTGCCAAGAAATCTGGATAACAATCACTTGGCCAACTGACTGGAAGAGATCTATATTTGTTCCCATTCCAAAGAAGGGTGACCCAACTGAGTGTGGAAACTACAGAACAATCTCATTGATTTCATATGCAAGCAAGATTCTACTGAAGATTATCCAAAAATGACTGAAATAGTACATCAGCAGAGAACTGCCAGAAGTCCAGGCTGGGTTTAGAAGGGGTCATGGTACTAGGGATATTGTAGCTGATGTTGGATGGATCTTAGCTGAAAGCAGAGAATACCAGAAGAATGTCTGTCTGAGTTTCATTGATTATGCAAAGGTATTTGACTGCGTAGATCATAACAAACTGTGGCTGACTCTGAGAAGAATGGGAATCCCAGAACATTTTATCGTGCTAATGTGAAACCTATACTTGGACCAAGAGGCAGTCGTCAGAACAGGGCAGGGCAACACTGCATGGTTCAAAATTGGGAAGACTGTAGGCCAGGGATGTGTCCTAGCTCCATACCTTTTCAACCTGTATGCAGAGCAAATTATCTGAGAGGCTGGCCTCTATGAGGAGAAGCATGGCGTTAGGATTGGTGGAAGATCTATCAACAATCTGCGTTATGCAGATGACACAACCCTGCTCACTGAAACTGAGGAGGACCTCATGCACTTACTGCAGAGGGTCAAGGACTGCAGCCTTCAGTATGGACTGAGGCTCAATGTCAAGAAGACAAAGATTCTCACCACTGGACCAATTGGTAGCATCAGGATGGATGGCGAAGAGATTGAGATTGTTCACAGCTTCGGTTTGCTTGGCTCCACGGTCAACACTCTTGGCACCAACAGCCAGGAAATAAAAAAAACGTATTGCCATGGGAAAGTCTGCTGTTAGGGACCTCTCTAAAGTACTAAGAGTAACGGTGTCTCTCTGGAGACTAAGGTGTGCCTGATACAGGCCATGGTCTCTGAAATCACTTGTTATGCATCAGAGGGTTGGACAACGACTAGGGAGGATAGAAGGAGAATCGACGCCTTTGAGCTGTGGTGCTGGAGAAGAGTATTGAATGTTCCATGGACTCCCAAGAAAACAAACAGATTCATCCTAGAGAGGGTTATACCAGGCTACTCCTTGGAGGCAAGGATTCTGCGGTTTCGTCTGACATATTTTGGACATGTTGTAAGGAGAAACAGGTCCTTGGAGAGGGACATCATGCTTGGTAGGGTAGAGGGACAGCGCAGGAGAGGAAGACCCTCTATAAGGTGGATTGATTCAGTAACTGGGGTAATCGGGATAGGTGTGTCAGAGGCAATGAGATTGGCACAGGATAGAGCAGGGTTTAGGGCTGTTGTACATAGGGTCGCTATGAGTCGTGAACGACTTGACGGCACATAACAACAACAACAACAACTTACCACTAGTCAATCAGAGCTCCATTTTTGTAGTTGTTGTGTTGTTATGTGCTGTTGTGTCACTTGTGACTCATAGTTACCCTATGTACAACAGCTCCAAACTCTGCTCTATCTTGAACCAACCTCATGTTCTCTGACACATCGACCCCCATTACCCCAGTCTGAGTCAGTCCATCTCATCCAGGGCCTTCATCTCTTGCACTGTCCCTCCGCCCTTCTATGCATGATGTCCCTCTCCAAGGACTGTCCCTCCTTACAACATGCCCAAAGTATGTCAAATGAAACTTCTAAATCCTTGCTTCCAAGGAGCAGCCTGGCTTCATCCTCTCTCGGATGAATCTGTTTGTTCTCTTAGCAGTCCATGGCATATTCAATACTATTCTGTAGCACCACAACTCAAAGGCGTCAATTCTTCTTCTGTTATTCTTAGTCATTGTTTAGCTTTCTGATGCATAAAAAAATAATTGTGAAGACCACGGCCTGGGTCATGTGCACCTTAGTCTCTACACTGATATTCTTGCTCTTTAGCACTCTGGAGAGGTCCCTGACAGCAGACTTTTCCAGTGCAATTTGTCTTTTGATTTCCTGGCTGCTAGTACAAAGAGTGCTGACTTTTGAGGCAAACAAGCTGGTACTGTTAACAATCTCAATCTCTTCACCATCTAACATGATGCTGCCAATTGCCCAGTGGTGAGAATCTTTGTTTCAATCCATAGTGAAAGCTGCAGTCTTAGACCTTCTGCAGCAAATGCCTCGTTTTCAGCAAGCATGGTTGTGTCATCTACATAATGCAGATTGTTCCTCCAATCCTGACGACACTTTCCTCCTCTTAGAGCCTCGCTCCCTCCTTATACATATGAAAATTTGAATTTAATAAAACTTTTGTGTGTCAATATTCTTTCTTCTTTTAATTTTTTTCTTCCAAAATATTAAAAAGTCAAGAGATCAGAGCTCTGGTTGTGCAATGGTTAAGAGCTTGGCTGCTACCAGAAAAGTCAGTAGTTCAAACTTACCTAGAGATTCCCCTTGCAGAAAGATTTTGTATTCTGCCCTTCTAATGCTTACAGTGTAGAAAACCAGGGCTTTGAACTTGTTCAGCCTGATTCAATCATGGATGAGGAAGCAACACCAGAATGGACTGAAACTTTTAAAATGTTTGTGAACCAGAATGTTGTCCAAAACAAGAAAAATTACATTTTAAAACCCCCTGGGAAGTTACTCTTAGAAAGACAAGGCATAGTAACTAAATGTTGGAAATGATCATGCACAATTAAAAGATGGCAGCCGACTGCGCTGCTTGGAATGTGTGTTACTCTCCCTCCACAATTCTGGCACTTATTCCGTTTCATGTATCAGGCTTATGAAGTGGCTCCCTACACCTCTTCTGAATTTCCCATTTTGTGTTTTTCTATTTCCAGGAATAGATGGCATACCAATTGACGTATTTCAGTTAACAGATGCTGCCCTGGACGTGCTCACCAAGTTGTGCCAAGAAATCTGGAGAACGACCACTAGGCCAACTGACTGGAAGAGATCGATATTTGTTCTTATCCCAAAGAAAGGTGACCCAACAGAATGTGGAAACTACAGAACAATCTCACTGATTTCACATGCAAGCAAGATTTTACTGAAGAT